AACAGTAGGCAAGGGAAACCAACATCCACAAGACAGTCAAGCACCTTAACAGTATTTTCCCTCTTTTCCCCATTCAGACTAGGCCTCAATCCCTGCATCATAGGCCCTGTTGTTCCAAGGTTGAGCATACAACACTACTTACCTCTGTCTGATTTAACTCATGCACACCTACCTAAGGGTTCCCCTATTGTAGATTTTTTAATTGACCTTGAAGATGTTTGAGAATGTCAGAGAACTTAGGGGAGAGGAAATTTAGTAGTTAACAGTAGTGGTATTTGGATGGGTTTCCTAGGACTGCTATAACAAATCGCCACAAGCCCCGTGATTGTACAACACTGCCAGTGTGTTCTCTCACGGTTCTTCTGGAGGTCATATGTTAGAAAACCAGGTGTTGGTAGGTTTGGTTCCTTCCAGAGTTTCTGAGGGAGAATCTGTTGTCTGCCTCTCTCCTAGATTCTAGTCACTTTCAACAGTTTTTGTTATTGACCTGTATTCTCCACCTTCACATACATTTTTTGTGTGTATGTCTGTGTGTCTTCTCATTTTTTGTCTCTAATAAGGACATCTAATAAATCATTGGATTTAGGATTCCTGGTGTGGTGCTGCAGGATAATGCCCTGAGTCGCAAGTTCAGTTTGAACAGTAAGGTCGGTGGTTCAAACCCACAAGCTACTCCTCAGAAACCCTAGACAGGGTTGCTATGTTAAGTGCCCATGTGCCGGCCCTTAACAGCAACAACAAAATCATTGGATTTAGGGTTCACCCTATCCAGATGATCTTATTTCAAGATTCTTAGTTTAATTAGATCTGCAGAGAGCCTGGAATCCTGGTGTGGTGCTGTGGGTTAATGTGCTAGACTGCAAAGTTGGTTTGAACCATAAGGTCGGCAGTTTAAACTCACCAGCTGCTCCTAGGAAACCCTCTACAGGGTTGCTGTGTATCAGAACTGACTTAACGATACTTAACAACAGAACAGATAGCCTATTTCCAAATAAAGTCACATTGACAAGTATTGGAGTTCAGGACTTGAACCTATCTTTTGAGGGACACTGTGTAACCCAGAATGATGAGTTCAAGCTAGTAGGGTGCATTTTAATAAATATTCACTCATTCAGTAACTGCTCAGTGAACACACTCTACATTCTAGGAACTGCACTCGGTACTGGGCATATAGCAGGAAACAAACAGACAGAGGTTTCTGCCCTCATGCCATTTATAGCTTCATGGGAGACAGACAGTAAACAAGGAGAGAAAGAAAAAGTCCTGGGGTAGGAAGGAACTTGGCGTGGGTAAGGAACAGAAGTGAGGCCAGTCTGGCTGGAGTGCAGGGAGCTCCAAGAGAAGCAAGGACTCACGAAAGAACGACAGCCTCCAGAGGAGCACCTGCACGTACCATGTTCAGTACATGCTTGAAAAATGGATAAATAAGTGCCACATGGGAAGTTTAGTCATTAGGTCCCAAAGTAGCAGTACAGATATTAAAAAGGAGGTGTGATTTAGCAGTAGGCCATGTGACAGTAACTGGGGTGTCGTTGGAAGCTTTAGGAAGTGTCCACATGCTGGTGGTGATAGTGCTGCTCTTGTCATCACCGGGGTTTCCTTTTGAGGATTACAGACAGTGGTACACCCAGAGAACAGACTCTGGGGAAGGAGTACACCCGGGGAAGGAGACGTTACTGGTATCTGGTCATTATTCTCCAGACGGTATAAGAACTGCCCTGTGGATGAGGGACTGAACTTAATTTATCTAAAAGGTAGAACTTTAATACTGGGAATTAATAGGAAGAGCTTTTTAACAGATGCTCTGAAATTAGAACCAGCTGCCTACTGAGGAGAGCCCCCTTTCTTTGCTAGACTAAGTCAGCCAGACCAGCAGAACTCAGAGCGGGGACGGCAGCTTGGTGTTGGTGTGAGAGGTCTTGTTAGCAGTTCAGGATAAAGAATAGAAATCTGAGAAATGTTTGGACTCTTGGGTTGCAATTAGGTATTCTCACAGCATTTGTGTTCCTGATGTATTTTCTGAAAGTATCCGTTCAAAAATTCCTACTCCTTTATCATAAACATTGGGCTAGGTAACTGTATAGGTAATATGTCACACAAACTGCCCTTTAATACCTGCCAACATGATTGGGTCTTCTAATCATTGGGAAAATAATCTCTCAGTTCTAGTTGCCTCTCATGCAAGTAACCAAGCCTGCCTTCCCCTCTCTTTATGTCTCATCTTGCCAGCGGTGGTGTCTGTTCTTTTCACTCGCTCACTCCAGAACTGCCTGTCCTCTGTCTCACTTACATCGCACACTTTAGTCTTTGACGTTCTCAGTGGAACATGAGAGTCAATGGAACATGGTTGAACTCAGACCATTTCTTCATTGCTGCCTTACCCCCTCCTCCACTCACAAGTAGACCAATGTGGTCACCAGCAAGCTTACATGCCTGCTCATGTGTTCCCTTAGAGTTTCAGTCTTAGTGGGGAGTTTGTCCTGAAGGAACTTGATTGCTGCCTTAATGGTTTCCCGACGAACAACTTGCTTATTCTTGTAGCAGACAATCGCCTGTCTCCACAAGGGAGAAACAGGACCAAACTCAAAATCAGCCCAAGGCCAGTTCCTATGAAGTAGAGGTCAGACATGCCTCCACCCTTTATCAGTGCCTTTAAAACTTGTCAGACTTGAGAACCAATTTAGAAGACCCATTCTTAGGATTCTGTTTCTCTAGAACCCCACTCTCTTGGTACCACATGTCTTAGGCCAGGATTTCTAAAGAAGCAAAACATATATAGAGAGAGACAAGTTTATAATCAAGGAAATCGCTTACAATTGTAGAGTCCTAGGTCCTCAGCACAAGAGAGAGATCCTGTGTCCATTATATTGGGAGCAGTCCCTGCCCCCAAGGAAACATCCTTTCAGTTGATTGGCTGCTCATAGCTAGTCATCATAGAGTTAACTGTGTCTGTGTTAGATTTCATAACTATGGGAATAAGCACATCTCAATCTCTGGAAATCCTGGTCTAGTCAGTTTGACACAGAACTGTAATCATGACAGCACTCCTGAGAATAGTCAACCATAGGAGATCAGCAGGGCAGCATTTATTTACCCAGTGCTGTGGGTTAATGCGCTGGACTGCAAGGTCAGCTTGAACGGCAAGGTTGGCAGTTCAAGCTCACCAGCTGCTCCTCGGAAACCCTATACAGGGTTGTTTTGAGTTGGAACTGGACTCAACGGCACTTAATACCAACAAACAACAACAAAGCTCAGAAGTCAGGAAGGGCTGGAAAAGGATGAATGGATAAAAACAGAAGCTTAGGGAGGAAGTGGGAAGAGTGCTGTTACATTATGGGGATTGAGATCCATGTTGTGAAGCAAAATGTGTGGTTGAATTAAAAACCAATCTTCTCTGTGAACTTTTACCCAAATCACAATAAAATGTAAAACAAAACAAAAATATTTAAAAAGCTCTCACAAGCTGTGAGAACTAGTGCCTCATTAAAGCAGAGATCCTTGAGGTTTGCACCACGCTGTGTGTATGTCACTGACCAGCACAGTGATGCTTGGTGAATTATGGAAGAGCAAGTACTTCTAAGAAATGATTGGCTTTTACATTTAAAAATGCTGGAGGAGTTCATTATGACAAGATTGACTGTTAAAAAATCCTAGTATGTCCTGCAGGTTGAACTGAAAAGACGAGGCAGTATATTGAAGCCATCTAAATAGCAACAATGACCACAAAATACGCAAGTAGGCCATTTAATAGGTAGATTTAAACAACAATAAATGATGACAACCTTACAAACCCTCTGAGGTGGCTCTGCTCTGTCCTCTGGGGTCATTCTGCATTGGAATCACCATGGCAGCAGTGGGCCGGTGGGCATGGACAGGAGACTGGCATGAGACGTGGCAGAGAGAATGTCCGGGTGGTGTGCAGGGAGAAGAGGTAAAGCCTGGATGGGCCTCTGTGTTCTGCCTGTGTAGGTGTGTACTTGCTGAGGGTGAACATACAGGGGGAGAAAGAGGAGCCTTGTTGGATGGAAAAGGTGAATTTGGGGATTATACTGAATTTGAGGTACTTCTGTGATGTTTAACATTATGTGCTGCGAAAGACTTCTTTAAAGTGTTCAAGAGCAAAGATGTCAGCTTGAGGACTAAGGTGCACCTGACCCAAGCCATGGTCTTTTCAATTGCCTCATATGCATGTGAAAGCTGGACAGTGAATAAGGAAGACCATAGGAGAATTGATGCTTTTGAGTTATATCAAAGGAGAATATTGAAAGTGCCATGGGCGGCCAAAAGAACCAACAGATCTGTGTTGGAAGAATTGCAGCCAGAGTGCTCCTTAAAATCCCAGATTCTTCGTGTCTCATTCTTTGGACATATTATCAGGAGGGACCAGTCCCTAGAGAAGGATGTCATGCTTGGTAAATTGGAGGGTCAGTGATCAAGGGAAGATTTCCAAGGAGACGGATTGACACCATAGCAGTAACGGTGGGCTCGAGTATAACACTTGTGAAGATGGCACAGAACTGGGCTGTATTTCTGTTGTGCATTGGGTTACTATGAGTCAGATCCAACTGCACAGCACCTAACAGCAACAAGAACAAATATTTAGGAACCCTAACAGTGCTATGGGTTCAATGTTGGCCTGTTAATCACCAAGTAGGTGGTTCAAACCCACTAGAGGCCTCGTGGGAGAAAGCTGAAGCTATCGGCTCACATAAAGATTTGCAGTCATATAAAGGGTTGCTTTGAGTCAGAATCTCCTCGATGACAGTATTTACCTGTTCAGTTCCTCTCTGAGGAATCATCTCAGCACATGTATGGGTACTAACTGTGACCAGCCATCACTTTTCACTGAGTGTCTCCATTTACTCCATGATGTGCTGGTGTGGAGTGTGCAGAGAATTTCTGTGTCTCACTAGCCCAGGCTGAGCCGTTAGTCCAGCTGTCTGTTATAAAAGATCTCGTGTGAAGTGTCACCTAACACAAGTGCCTGTCCTTGTTGTCAGCTGGCCCCAGATGACGCCTGGCGTTGCCCACACTGTAAGCAGCTACAGCAGGGGAGCATCACTTTAAGCCTGTGGACTCTGCCTGATGTGCTTATTATACATCTAAAGAGATTTCGACAGGTAAGGAAATTCTACATCGTAGGGAGAAACAAGCCCCTACCTCCTACTGGCGGGCTTTATGGCTTTTCCTGTTTGATCCAGGGAGTCTGTGTAAATTATAGACCTTGGAAAGCCTATACAGGGTCCTTATGAGTTGGTACCAATTGATGGCACTTAACAGCACCAACAACAGTTGACCCCTGTGGGGTCCTAGTATGGTGCTGTAAGATAAACACTGGACTGCTAATGGATGGCAAGATTGGTGGTTCAGACCAACCAGCCACTCCTCAGAAGCCCTGTAGAGCATTTCTGTGAGTCGGAACCAACTTGACAGCATTTAACAACAACAACAACAACAACATCTGTACTACGGGATCCCTGCTGGGGCAGTAGCTAAGAGGAGCTAAGAGCTAACCAAAGGTCATCTCCTTGGAAACTCTATAGGTTGCTATGAGTCAGAACTGACTCAACAGTACCTAACAACAACAACAAATGAAAGCGGTATCTCATTGAGCCACCTGAAACTACCACTTTTGTAAAGCAAAAAACTAAGGTAGTGCCCTTTAATAGGTAAGGACATGAAGATTTAGAGACTCATTAACCCCTTATGTGTAGACCATCATTGGTTCCACTTTTAGTGCTATTAAAACTTGTTCCTCTAGATAACTAAAACGTAGGAAACAGCAGATAGGTAACACAAACCTCTTCAGCTGAGAGAGTTCACGTTCCATGCTAAACTGATCTGCTTACATGAAAATATCATCTGAATTTGTTTTTATTCTTATAACAGGAAGGAGACAGGCGCATGAAACTTCAAAACATGATCAAGTTCCCCTTGACTGGCTTGGATATGACTCCTCACGTGGTTAAGAGAAGCCAGAGCAGCTGGAGTTTGCCATCCCACTGGTCCCCGTGGAGGCGGCCCTATGGACTCGGGCGGGACCCTGAGGACTACATCTATGACCTGTATGCTGTGTGCAATCATCATGGCACCATGCAAGGGGGGCATTACACAGGTCTGCAATGCGAGAGGCTGGGCATCTCTTTAGACCCAATGTGCTAATGACAGGTCACTTTGCTATAGAAGCTTCCTCTCTCTTCCAGGAGGCAATATGCCAGCTGTGAAGGCAGCTTTTCATCATCTGCATCTCTGTCGTCATTGTTGTTAAGTGCCACCAAGTCTGTTCCAATTCACAGCGACCCTATAGAGGGTTTACAAGGAGCTGCTGGTGGGTTTGAACTGCCGACCTTGTGGTTCAAGCTGACTTTGTGGTCCAGCACATTATCTTGCAACACCACACCCAGGACTCCATCTGCATCTCTATCCAAGAGCAAATAAACTAATATTTGTTTCCTTGTCTTGAGTTGGGCCATCTAGAGGGATCGCATAGGACTGGGGAGTGGCACACACGGTAGGCTGCGTCGTGTTAACTCTTTGCTGTTTCGTTTGCTAAGGTTCTAGGTTCTTCCTCTTACAGTGATTGTGCACCATTGCAAGGCGTCTTCAAAGTGACTTGTAAAGGGGTGTTCTTTTGCTCTAAGGTTCAGTGTACTTTTTCCTTCATAAAAGCAACTATGGTCATCGTACAAAATTGAGAGAGAGAAGTAGAAGAGATAGCATTATGCTTGGGTCTATCTAACTCAGGATAACCACTGGTAACGTTTTGATAAAAAGTATTTCTTCCAATGCTTTTCTGAAAGATTTTGCCTTTCTTTTATACTTTTGGGATTGTATTGGAATGGTCTCCTGTACATGTCCTGTATAGCTTGCTTTGTACGACACACTAGGAATCCAGAGATGATTAAGGATGATTAAGTCCCAGACTCCACCTGGGGAGTGGAAACTATTAGTGAGAACATGAGTACAGATAAGCTGGGGTAACTGTGGTCACATGTCACACTGGCTTTGTGAAACAAGTGTGAGCAGTGGGCACAGCAGAGGGCTAGAGGAGGCGCTGGCCTGGACAGACCAGCTTACTGGGGTTAATAAGGACCTCGGTGGGGGATCCATACAGGGAATCATTTCAGAATCAGAGAAGTGCAGGGAGGCCCGAGCTGTGTGTGTGTGTGTGTGTGTTTCTGCACCTTATCTTCAGACATTGGTACATGAGCATTCTGATGTTGATGCTTAATTAGAACCCTAATTAATTAGAACTCTTTCATACAATCATTCCACAATGTTGAATGTATTGTCTCTGGCTTTTAACTTTTAATATAAAACATTTTTGTGCATCTTTACTTTTTCTGTATTTCCTTGAAGTACAGTCTCAGAAATGGAATGACTTCGAGAGCGTGCATGAACGTTTTGGAGACCAGACAGAGTTTTGAGCTTCTTGTTTGTACGTTTATGTATGTGAGTTGATGTGAAGTTAATGCTGTGAATTTGATTGTCTGTACAAGAGGTCAGGACTTAGATTTCTGTCTCCTTCACACCTCGTATTTAGTGTGTGTACTATATTGCTAAAGGATGTTCCTTCTTCATGAATCCAGTATTTCTACAACATCCCAGGTGCTGGGGCTGACCAGTGATTCATAAAGGTAGGGGGAGAGGCTGACAGTGGTATTTTTAAATCCCTGGGATTCATTTCATAGAAGTCACCCAGTAAACCTCCCTCCCTGTTCGTTAGGCAAAGGAGTCTGTCCACTGCCCCCATCCCCACCCCTTGCTCACTTACTCTTGTCACATGCTCTTTGCTGATGTCTTTTCTCAGCAGAAGGGAGAGGATAGGGGAGGATAACTGAAATGATGTCATCTTGATGCAATGATCTTTGATTCTTGAATGTCTTCAGTTCAAGTTCTTTAAATATTGAGGTGCTGTAAGCAGCAAGGGTCTGTGAGGAATGATCCCAACTTTGAGGGTAACTCATCATGGAATGATTTGAACTGTCTCTGCTTACCCAGGAAGCACTTTCAGGGAGAGACAAAAGATACCTCTGTGCAAAAGAAGATTAGAACTCCACGAAATCCATTGCCAGTGAATCGATTCTGACTTATAGCAGTCCTGTCAGCTGGAGCAGCTCTCTAAAGCTTGATGGAAACAAACTATCCTCTGGTGGCTTCAAACCGATGACCTTCCAGTTAGCAGCTGAACATTTTAACCATTGCCCCACAGAATTCTTAATAGAAATTGAAGCAAACCTATTGTCATCAGCTTGATTCTGACTCATAACGGCCTTGGATAGGGTTTCTGAGACTCTTTGAACTACAAGGTCGGTGGTTCAAGCTCACCAGTCGCTCCTTGGAAACCCTATACAGGGCTGCTTTGGGTTGGAACTGACTCGACGGCACTTAACAACAACAATGACAAGTCTTTATGGGAGCAGAAAGCTTCATCTTTCTCCTGCACAGCAGCTGGTGGGTTGAACTGCTGACCTTGCAGTTAACAGTCCCGTGCTTATTCTACAGCACCACGAGGACTTCTTATAGAAGATAAAGGTTGATATTAATTCTCAAGCCAAAAACCTGGCTTGTTTCCGTGAAATTGAATCTGACTTCCAGTGATGCCGGAGGACAGATTAGAACTGCCGCTCAGGGCTTCTAAGTTTGTCACCTTTATGCAAACACACTGCCGCACCTTCCTCCCATGGTGTGGCCGGTGGCTTGGAACCACTGACTTTTTATTTAGTAATCAAGTGCTTAAGTACCAGGGCTCCTTGATGCTAATTAAATTAAATGTGTAAATGTTTTATATTTTAGTTTAAACCAAGATTAAATAATGGCATTTATATTTTGTATCTTCTTGTTGTTAGGTGCCATCGAGTCAACACCTCTCATAGCGACCCGATGCACAACAGAATGATACACTACTTGGTCCTGGGCCAACTTCACAATTGTTGCCATGCTTGAGAGCCCATTGCTGCTGTCACTGTGCCAATCCATCTTGTTGGGGGTCTTCCTCTTTTTCTCTGACCCTCCACCTTACCAAACATGATATCCTTCTCCAGCAACTGGTCCCACAATATGTCTAAAGTATGAGAGACAAAGTCTGACCTTCCTGGCCTCCAAGGAGCATTCTGGCTGCACTTCTTCCAACACAGATCTGTTTATTCTTTTGGCAGCCCATGGCACTTTAAATATTCTCCTCCAACAATATAACTCAAATGCATCAATTCTTCTACTGTCTTATTCACTGTCCAGCTTTCACATGCTTATGAGATTATTTAAAATACTATGGTTTGGGACAGTCCTAAAACTTACATCTTTGCTCTTCAACACTTTAAAGAGTTCTTGGCAGCAGATTTGCCCAATGCAATATGTCATTTGATTTATTGATTGCTGCTTCCCTGAGTGTTGTTAGTTGATCTGAACAAAATGAAGTCTTTGACTAATTTCAGTCTTTTCTCTATTTATATGAATGTTGTTAATTTGTCTGGTGGTGAGGATTTTTGTTTTCTTTACATTGAGATGCAACCCATAATGAAGGAAGGCTGTAGTCTTTGATCTTCATTAGTATTTTAAGTCCTCTTTACTGTAGCAAGCAAGGTTGTATCATCTGCATGACGCAGGTTGCTAATGAGTCTTACTCCAATCCTGATGCCACATTTTTCTTCACATAATCCAGTTTCTCGGATTATTTGCTCAATTTACAGATTAAATAAGTATGGTGAAATAATACAACTCTGGCACATACCTCTCCTAATTTTAAACCATTCCGTGTTCCCTTTTTCTGTTCGAACAACTTACTTTTGGTCTATGTACAGGTACCTCATGAGCACATTTAAGTGTTCCAGAATACTCATTCTCTGTAGTGTTATCCTTCACTTGTCATGATCCACACAGTTGAGAGACTTTGCATAGTCGAAAAAAGCGCAGGTAAACATCTTGCAGGTATTGTCAGCTTTCAGCCAAGATCCTTCTGATGGCAACAGTGATATCCCTTGATGCACGTCCTCTTCTGAATTTGGCTTGGACCTCTGGAAGTTCTCTATCGATGTGTGGTTGCAGCTGTTTTCTGTTGTCATTAGCAAAACTTTATTTGCATGGGATATTAATGATATTGTCTATTGATTTCTGCATTCTGTTGGGTCACCTCTCTTGGGAATGGGCACAAATACGGATTTCCAGTCGGTTGTATAGCTTCCAGAATCACAGCAACACAGAAGCCGCCACAGTTTGACAAACTGACAGACGAGTAGTTCTAGATCATATGACACCTCTTGAAATGGTTGAACATCAAGCATTTCTTTTTGGTATAGTGACTATATTTCTTCTATCTTCTTTTGTTACTTTCTGCATCATTCAATAGTTTGTCATCAAATCCCAAGTCAAGGCTTGAGTTTTCCTTCAGTTTTTTCTGCTTGAGAAATGCTGAATGTTTTCTTCTTCCCTTTTGTTTTTCTAACTCCAGGTCTTTGCACATTTGATGATAATACTTGACTTTGTCGTCTTGATCTGCCCTTTGAAATTTTCTGTTCAGCTCTCTGACTTCTTCATTTCTTCCACTTGCTTTAGCATCTCTATGCTGGAAAGCCAGTTTCAAAGTCTCTTCTGACATCCATTTTGGTCTTTTCTTTCTTGTCTTCTTAATAACCTTTGCTTTCTTCCTGTACGATGTCCTTGATGTCGTTCCATAACTCTCTTGCTCTTTGGTCATTAGTATGTAATGCGTTAAATCTCTTCTTCAAATGGACTCTAAATTCAGGTGAGATATATTCAAGGTAAATTTTTGGCTCTTGTGGACCTATTTTTATTTTTTTCAGCTTGATACTGAACTTGTATATGAGCAGTTGATGGTTTGTTCCATTGTCAGCCCCTGGCCTTATTTTAGCTGATAATGAATTTTTTTTTTTAACCATCTCTTCCCACAGATGTAGTCAGTTAGATTCCTGTGTATTCCATCTGGTGAGGTACTTGTGTATGCTGGTTGGTGGTTGTGTGCTGTGGAGTTGGTTCTGACTCATAGCACGCCTGTATAGGGTATCTGAAGCTGGGAGTCTTTACTGGAGCAGAAAGCCTCATTTTTCTTCTGTATATATGTGTATGGTTGCCTACAATGTTGTTTGAAGAAGGTCTTTGGAATGTATAAGTTACTGGTGTTTACATTCTGTCATGGAATCTCCAGAATCATTTCTATCACCAAGGCTACATTTTCCAGCTAGTGGTCCTTTTCTCTTTGTTTCCAATCTTCTTACACAATCCAATCACCAGTAATTATCAATACATCTTGATATTATGGTTAATCAGTTTCAGACTGAAGACATTTGTAGAATTTTTCCGTTTCATCATCGCTGGTGTAGTGGTTGGTATGTAAATTTGAATACCAGTGGTAGTGATTGCTGGTCCTTACAGTGGGATATTATCCCACTCCCCACTCCCAAATAGCAGCTACCTGGTCCTTTGGGTCACTTATACCTCAAGTCCGACACACTGACTGGAAGTAATGTGTTGATGGTTCATTTGCTGCTTCAGTCTCCATTTCTCTATCCTCTGGTTCTAGTGAGTGTCATGAACGCGTATGTTTGTATCTGTTCTTGCTGGTACTAGAATTGTCTTTATTGTCCACCCAGGCTTAGAATTTGAACTGGAGAGAAAGCCCCATGCATTTATAAACTCCCTGTTTTCTCAGTTTGCCAGTAGCTTGTATGGAGCATTATCTGTGCCATAGAACTGCCACAGGTGGGTGACTTTCACAAACAGAAAATTATTTTCTCCCAGTTCCGGAGGCTAGAAGTCAGAATTCTGGGCACCACTGAAGGAAAAGGCTTCTTGTCTCAACTAACTCTAAGGGAAGGCCTTGTTTCGGTTCCTGGTTTCTTGGTGACAGCCATCTTCCTCTGTTTGCCTTTGCTTCCATATCTAATCTGCTCCTTAGTTCAAAGTGATTGTGCCCCACAATGATACTGCTATACTAGCAGAAGAAAAGAAACTCCTTTTTCCCAAAGGAAATTACAACACATAGGAGAAGACTTCGAAAAGTTTAGCGGAAAATGGCATGAAAGATCATAGACCATTTTGGGGGGACCCAATTCAGTCCTTAAGTGGCATTGCTGATTGCTCCCTGAGCGAGGCATAGTAGGGTGAGATCAAAGCGCAAACATGGGAAGACCCAGGGCAGAAATGAGCTGGGTTCTGACCTTTTCCTGCTGTGTGGCCTTGGGCAAGCTAGTCCATCTTTAATGGGAATAATACAAGAACAATTCTTGGCTTGTATAAACAAATAATAGCTGCTGCTGTTATGTATCTTACTGCTTCTATTCATGTTATTTCCTGTCTTTAGTCAACCCTGAAATGTTACAATATGTTTAAATTAGTGTTTTTCAACTCTGGCCCAATGTTACCAGATAATTCTTTGTTGTCTTGTGCTGTGCAGAATGTTTAACAGTATCCCTGGCCTCTGTCCCCCAGTTGTGATTTTAGCCCCCTGAAGGCTAAAATTATCCCTGATTTGAGAACCATTTAAACTTAAATAGCAGTTTTCTAAGCTGAAATAGAATTTTATCTATTTGGAAGAATTTGGAATTTCTCAAAACTTTTTGCCTAAGTGAAATGAAATGTAGATTTTATTATTTTTTAAGATGTATTTCTATGTTGGAATCCTGGTGTGATGCTGTAGGATCATTACTGGACCACTAACCACAAGGTCAGCGGTTCAACCCACCAGTAGCTCCTCGGAAACATTTATAGGGCCTCTATGAGTCGGAACCGACTCCACGGCAGTAGACAGGCACATGTTAGTTCTTGAATTGATGTATGAACCAGTGAGATGGTGTCTGTGTAGAGGTGGAGCAGCTGGTGTTGCTGCCCCTGGCCCTGGTCTGGTTCTGACGGCGGGCTTTCTCTGCAGCGTACTGTAAGAACTCCGTAGACGGCCTCTGGTATTGCTTCGATGACAGCGATGTGCAGCAGCTCTCTGAAGACGAGGTCTGCACACAGATGGCATACATCCTCTTCTACCAGCGGCGAACGGCTATACCCTCATGGTCAGCTAACAGCTCACTGGCAGGTAAGGCCCACTCTCGTCCTCATTCTTGTTGTGTCTTGAGCAGAAGATTGGAATTAGTGGCTAGAAGGTGTCATGACTCCGGGCACGATCAGAATAATTCTCACATTTGCATTTTATCTGGAAACAAACGTTCACACACGAGGAAATGCGGGTGCACGGTGAGAGCAGCTGAGTCTGCGCGTCGTGTGGAGGTGGGGCCGGCTCCTGGAATGAGACAGCGCCTGCGCACCACGTCACCTTGCTGAAGTAGGGGGATGAGTGGCTGGGATGCACAAGTGAGACGTGACTTTGCTAGGTTTGGGCTGGGTTATCTTAGCACACGTCCCGTCTGAGCCCGTCTATGCCACATGTTTACATCTGCAGCATGGGTGTACTAGTAATGCCTGCCTCGTGTAGTTTAACACATCAGATGAGGTAGGTGCATTCTAAAGCATTTTGTAAAGGGTAAACTGCCATTAGAAATAGCTTTGATTTTCCCCCTGTAAGAAGATCGATCTGTTCTGTTAGGGTAATGAGTGGAAGCTATAGTAGTATTTAATGGCTTGGGCTTTGCCTGCTGGGGTCTAGTCCCTTGTGTGTACTAAATGCAGGATCCCATCATACGGATGCAGCCACAATAATGCAGGCAAGAGCAGAGGACTACAGAGTGGTCATGTGTGATCAGGTTAAAATCAAAACGAAACTCACTGCTGCTGAATGGATTCCAGCTCATTCCAAGACTGTAAATCTTTAGAGGGGCAGGTAGCTGCTCTCCCCTGCAGGGCAGCTGCCACTAGGCCTCCCTGCTCCCTGGGAAAGGTGTGAGGGTAAGTTAAACAGCTAGAAGGAAGCGTTGCTGAGAGTCTATAGCTCTAGCCAGTAGACCCGGGCCCTGCGGCCCTGCACTCAGAGAGCGGGCATTCCAGTGTGTAGGCCATCCCTCAGTGGTTTCCCGAGTCAGAGACACTGGGAAATCACACACTCTCATCATCTACTTGAAACTGACATGCTGCTTCAGGTGCACATTTTCCAGAACAGTTTCTGTTGTTCTGTTATATTTAAGAGCATCATCTCTGGAACAATGTAGCACTGAGGTACTTAATAAATATTTGTAGAAGAATGAATGTCTGAATGTCAGTATTCCACTCTATGGCCATCTTTTAAGTCTTGGGTTTGCATTTGGAAGTATTTATCCCTGTGTTTGCATTTCATCTGTATGAACACTGTGTGTGTGGAGGTCTACCCTCCTTTGTCCATCCGCCTGGCGCTGCTCTGACAGGCGTGAAGCTGGTTGGAGGTTAGTGCTAAGCTCCACGCTTCTGCCCCACCTTACTGCTTGCTTCCTTTTCTGCAGGTTCCACCAGTTCTTCTCTGTGTGAGCACTGGGTGAGCCGGCTCCCAGGGAGCAAGCAAGCCAGTATCACCTCTGCGGCTTCGTCCAGACGCACCTCCCTGGCCTCGCTCTCCGAGTCCGTGGAGATGACTGGGGAAAGGAGTGAAGACGATGGTGGGTTTTGGTGGTAGAAGTCTAAAATGGCGATTCGCGACCACAGCATAGGGACCCTCCAAAAGTTTTAGGAACCGAGTCCTCAAGAACTCACAAGGGGGTTCTAGAGAGTGGGGCTGTCTGGCGGTGGGTGATGATCATAGTAACAGTTTACTTAAGGGTAAGTCAAAAAGTATTGCTACAAATCCCTAGGACCCTTTATCAAAAAGTTTCTCTGAATGCCCTCCGTCCAGGTCTGTGTGTTCTGAAGGCGGTACTTCTGTCTCTCTAACTCCTCCCTGAACAATTCCCAGCTCTTCAGTTCACACATGTCAAAATGCAAGGGACTCAAATTGTGTTTCTTTTCAATATTCTTTTCACTTTGGGAACAAAAAGAACCCTGAAGGGACAACATTAGGGCTGTACTGTGGATGGGGTAAAGTATTCCAACCAGACTCTCACAGGGCAGCCCCTACTGCCCTCAGAGAATGAGCAGGTGTGTGGTCATGAAGGAAACAACACCTCAGCACAAGTTTCCTGAACTTTTTGTCCCCATGAACTCAGTTGTCAAGTTCTTAAAACTTCTTCCTAAAACTCCTCAAGGACCTTTCTGTGTCCGTCAAGAATATCTGTCCAGAGTATCCCTTTGGGGTCTCAAAGAACAGTCACTATAGACTTCTGAGCTGAGCTCTGTGCCTTGAGTTTGTTTCTGTGATCTTCCAGACCTTCCTTCAAATACTTGATCCATCCCCAAATTCTTGTTGTGTGTCAGGTGGCTTTCTTGTACGCTTATTGCAAAACTTCAGTGATTTGGGACAGTGTCTCTTGTTTTGGTTTCTTAGTGCCCATTAAGCTGACTCCAAGTCATGGCAATTCTGTATAGGGTTTCCGAAGAACGGCTGGTGGATTTGAACACCAACCTGGTAGTTCAAACGGACCTTGTAGTCCAGTGCTTATCTGACAGCACCACACAAGGACTCCATACCAGAACAGTGTCTACTTGAGTAGTATTAAAAGGAATTGATATTAACCCTGACCTCAAAGTACTTTTGAACTATATTCTAATTGTCGAAGGTACCCTAATGAGACTAAACTTTGTTTCCGTGAAGATTTAAAGACTTGGAAACCCTGTATAGTCAAAACTGACTCCACAGCACTTAACAACAACAGCAACCCCTGTGTGGCATTCATGTGCCAGGCAGACTTTGGACTGGGAGGTGGGGTGAGGTGGGGAGGCCTCTAGGCAGCCAAAGCCCTGAGAACTGGCAAGAAGCGAGAATGAGCTCAGCTTCTATAATGAAGACAGTGACTCATTTATCAGCAAGTGTCATGCTGCGCTCAGCCTTGGATCGCCGTAACCTGCTTCTGGTGAAGATGGCAGCTGAACTGGAGAAGCTGCAGGGCTGCAGGCAGAAGGTCAGCCTGGGAGCTGGTGCAGCACGCTGCGAGCTCGGCCGCTGCACTTGTTGTGCGCGCCTTCCTACTCCCTGACACTCCATGACAAGCAAGTGAATCTTGGCTTCCTTTGTTGTTGCTGTTGTTAGGTGCCATTGAGTCAGTCCATAGCAACCCTCTGCCTGACCTGCGGCATCCTCGGGATGCTTGCTTAGCTAGAGGTTATTCTCAGGCAGTCTTTAAACGTGGAATCACTGTCATTTCAACAATCAGCTGCTCTATGGTTGGCCCCCAATCTCCTTTTAAGCAGTGTTGTTGTTGATAAGTGCTGTTCAAGTTGGTTCTGATCCATAGCAACCTTGTATAGGGTTTCCGAGGAATGGCTGGTGAGCTTGAACTGCTGACCTTGTGGTTCAACCCGACTTTGCAGTCCAGTGCATGAACCCACAGCGCCACACCAGGTCTCCACTTTTAAGCAGTGTAGTTGGTGAAATGGATATCCAGAATGCATCTCATGTCCTGTGTGTCCCTTATACAGATAGTGTGTGAGAAATGCCACAGGGACACTACCAAGTGTGTAGGTAGAGAACCTTTTCTTTGGAAGTTGTAATTCACTCAGGACAGGAGTCCTGTATCTTTAATTCTTTGCACTGATCTTCCCATCTACGTCAATGGCGGGGTTCCGTACGGGTGGAGAGAGAGTCATGGGGCTGTGGGTTCAGGTCTTAGCTCTGTCTCTCATTATCACTCTGTGAGCCCCAGATGGTCCCTCTGGGAGGAGAAGCATCGGGTACAGTCTCTCACATTTACCGAGGATCTGTGAAGTGCTGGGTGGCTCCCAGTCACCCTGTGAGCTGGACCAGGGGTCAACAAATCTGGCCTGCTGCCTCTTTTGTAAATAAAGTTTTGAGTCACAGCCATGCCCATTTGCTTCCATGTATTTGTGTCTGAGCCTAAAAAGTTTGCCACCTGAGTTGGTACAGGTAAAGTTGGCTGAACTCTGAGAGGGCATGAGGGGGAAGACAGTCATTTGCTGACCCCCATGTTATATTGTTTTATAGGTGAGGGAATTAAGACTCAGAAGAGTTCCAAGTCTCATGGTTAGTCTATGACATAGCCATGACTGGACCTGAATATACTGATCCGAAGGCCCAGTTCCAGCCATTCCAAAGACCTTGCTTACCGTCTAGCTTCAGTGTCTTACGATTTGTTTGAATGCATTTATTGCTTACGCTTAATGATATTCTCTTTGCTATGTTCAGGAGGATTCTCAACTCGACCATTTGTGAGGAGTGTCCAGCGTCAAAGCTTGTCGTCTAGATCTTCTGTAACCAGCCCCTTGGCTGTCAACGAAAATTGCATGAGACCATCTTGGTCCCTGTCTGCTAAGCTGCAGATGCGCTCCAGTTCTCCTTCCCGATTCTCAGGGGACTCTCCAATTCACACGTCTGCCTCCACCCTGGAGAAGATTGGGGAAGCAGTGGATGACAAGGTCTCCATCTCTTGCTTCGGTAGTCTGAGGAACCTTTCCAGTACTTATCAGGAAGCAAGTGATAGTCACAGTCGCCGGGAACACAAAGCTGTGGGCCGAGCTCCTCTGGCTGTCATGGAAGGCATGTTCAAAGAAGGATCACATACCTGCAAATTGAACTCCAGTCTTGTAGACACACCGAGCAAAAAGTCAGCACAAGGGGATCACTTGCCTCCTGTCTCTGATCCATTTGACAACAATAATCAGATTGCTTATGTGGATCAGAGCGATTCTGTGGACAGCTCTCCAGTCAAAGAAGTGAAGCCCCATAGCCATGCCAGCTCCCTCCCCAAGAAACCAGAGAGCACAACCAAGAGCTCCCCCAGCTCCCGAGGCCCTTCTGAGCCAGATCGAAGCCTGCGGAAGGGGAGAGCAGTCTTGGCGAGCCAGGAATCATCTCTTTCAAGTACATCTCCTTCTTCTCCCGTTCCCGTCAAGGTTTCTGTGAAGCCCTCCTGCTCCCGGAGCAAAGCTGAGTCTTCTTCCAGGGCCAGCGGACGTCATTCCTCCCCTCTCCCTGCCCAACCCCGCAAGGAGACAGTCCTGAAATCCCAGGATGCTGGGTCATCATCTCCTTTGCCACAGAAGCAGAAGTCAGCCTCTTCCCTAGCCTCCACATCTGCCAAAAAAGCCTCGGGCCCTGCCACGAGGGCGCCTCTCCCTCCTGGGAAGAGCAGGACTTCAGACAGAAGCCTGAGTAGAGAGGGCTCCAGACAAAGCCTGGGTTCTGAGCGGGCCAGCGTCACTGCCAGCTCCGCCTCTAAGCCCAGCTCTCCTTGGGTGGGTCAGGCCCGAGGCGGGGAGGGCCGAGGGGACAGCAAGCATGTTAGGAGCTCCTCCATGGCCAGCCTACGGTCCCCCAGCATAAGCATGAAGTCTGGTCTGAAGAGGGACAGCAAGTCGGAGGAAAAGGGGCTGTCCTTCTTCAAATCAGCCTTGAGACAGAAGGAAACCAGGAGGTCTACTGACCTTGGGAAGACAACCTTACTGTCCAGAAAGGGAGGTGGGAGCTCTGTCAAGTCGGCCTGTAAGGGTGCAGTGGAGGAGAAGTCTGAGAAGGGCGCTCAGCACCCGGGCTCCCAGAAGCCCCATGCCAACGCAGCTGGAAAAGAGCAGCTAGTCTCCAAGGACTCTGCTTCTGCTAAACATTCCCTGCTGTCCACTCGCAAGGCCAGGTCTTCCCAGCTAGACTTGGGGGCCCCCTCATCTCCTGGTGGTAGGCAGGCTTCTGAGAAAGCCTCGAAAAAGTTATCTTCTAGCATGCAGACTTCTGCCCGGCCTTCTCAGAAACCGTCATGACTTTCTGCAACCCAAGTGTTTCACCTGTGAAAATGTTTGTTTATTTAAAATCCCTCCCCACCCTCCAGAACCCTCCATGCTTTTGTTTTGTAGTTTCTAGGTCTCATGTCTGGTGTGAGTGTGTGTGTGTGTGTGTGCGCGTGCGTGCATATGTGCGGAGAATTCAGTTGTAAGTTGTTAAAAGTGGCGCCTTATTCTACCATTGAACCAAATAACAGCCGTAAGCAAAGTGTTGGTAGCAAGCTAACTGGAGTAATGATAGACAATACCCTGGACAGCCCTTTGAGCAATTGTACATATTTCCTTCTAAAGAGTTCTTAATGACTTTTGTTGGACACTAGGGTTTTGAAACCTGTGAACCAGTTAAGCTGTCATTAGTGAATTACTTGACTTGGGTTTCAGCTGAGCAGGATTTGTCCTCACTGTGGCACTGACAGCAGAACAAACGGAGGGAAAAAAGGGTTGCTTTCTGCACTTTCACCCCATTAACCAATCTTGGTAAAGGGCAATATTTTAACACTAATGTTTCTCAGGTATTTACTCAGCAAGACTAGGCTGGGTGCACATCAGTGAAAGGGTTAACGAGGTGGTCTGACAGGTAGGTGACCATGTCGTTTCTTCTACTGCCACAAAAGTGTTTTGGTGCAGAAATGAGGTCTTTCACCGCCTTTATATCTGCAGGTGTGTGTCCCTAAGCTGTCTTGACTTTTAGGATATGCCCTTTATGGTTAAGAGCCGACGAGTTGATTCCGACTCCTAGCAACCCTGTCCAGGGTTTCAGAGGAGTGGCTGGTGGGTTTAAATTGCCAACCTTGTGGTTCTCAGTCCAGTGCTAATCCTACAGTGCCACCCCAGAAGACCAGGACATGCCCTAGAAGGTGGCAGATTGGATAGCCAGAAAGACAGTGACTGGTACTTACAGTTTTCCTTTCCAAATTTGCTAGCGAAGGCCATTGGGATTCTGAAGTGTAGTACGAACACTCAGCACCTTTGGAAGACAGATTCTTAGGAAAAAAATGGCTTCTGAACTGGATGCGAGAAACTAGGCCATTTTCCTTTTCTGATGTTATTATTTTTTTTGTATGTTCAGCATTGAAAGCGCCATTCTGTCCTGTGTTTACATACTCATGTGTCCTTGTAACTTGGAAAGGACAGGCATTGTCTAATGCCAAATCAGTGCTGGCATGTTGGCGTGCCTGGGACACTCTGAGTCTGAGTCTCCGTCCCAGGTCTGATGCCTCTAGTGACTCTTCTGTTTCTTCTTTGTGGTGAAGAAACTGACTTCTGACAGCGGTCAGTGCAAATCTCATTGATTGTTTAGAAAAAAGTGGACCTGACAAAAATCTCACACACAGATAAGATAGTCTTTCGAGCACCGTGGACGTATCCATGCCATGTTTTCCTACTCGACTTTTGATATTTTTCCCTTTTCCTGTTTCTTTCATGTCAAGGTCCTGGTTCTCGTTGAGTAGAATTTGTCACTTTGTGATGACACCACATGCTGTTACATGCTTTCCAGTGTTAGCTTTTTTCCATCCTTTTGTAGACTTTCCCAAGTTCTCTCTGAACTCTTGGTGCACAGACCCAGTTGAAGCAACTAGAATCCCTGTACGTGCCTGTCTGTGAATTCTGCACTGCCTTCTGCTCCTTATTAGTACTTTTTTCTTCTTCTTCTATAAATACCTCTTGGGAAATGTTCCCAGTAGGTTAGCTAACTTTATTTTGCTGCTGATTTGAGCATTAGCAGGTAACTGACAAGTCTGAAGACCACTGATGTTAGGAGAGCAGGAGTTTCAGACCCTTGCAGTATTTAGGACTTCCATAGTCAGCCTTTGTGGACGTTACTATAGTACTCGGTGTCGTTCATCCACCCTCAGCCTGTGGTCCATTGCTCTCCAGGCTCAGCCCGGCTGTGGAGACACCTGGGATCTAGAGCAGCTCCCTCTCCTCTGTAGAGACAGATTGCTGCCGGGGGACAGTCTGCACTCCTCACTGCTTCCAGCAACACCTTCCCCGCTGGCCACTGGCTCACCTCTGCTGACCGCCCTTTCCTCAAACAACAGACCAAGTGTGGATAGACAGTATGAGGAGTGGAATGCTTGCCTGATTTGAACCGCCCATCTGTAATAGGTCTAGCAGGTGAAACATGCCGTCTCCTGTCTGAATCTGCCAAAGTCTTAGAATGATAGATAGCATGTTTGGACAAAGGGGTTTAATAACACTGTGTGTGTGTGTGTGTGTGTGTGTGTGCGCGCGTGTGTCTAATCACCTAAGCTTTAGTAGTGACCAGTTTTACTTTCACAGTGAGGAATAGTGATCTTTATTCTGAAGTCCTGCACGGATGGGTTTACCATTATGGCTGATCTCTTCAAAACAAAGAAAAAATCTCCACTGACCCTTTTACTTTTCCCTGGGATCTTAGAAATGAGAGTTCAGCCTCTGTTATCTGGTTGCCTAGGGGGTTTAGTCCTTGCTCCAGATCGAATGCAACGGAGAAAAAAACAAAGTCAGGAATGAATGCCATTTTCTGTACATCCTCACAATACGAGAAATCTGTGATTAGTAAACAATGTACATTTCATTATTCTTCACTCCTAGGTACAACTTCATAAGCCACCGAAACGAGTATTTTGTCCCAAAGGTTGGAGGTGCTCTTTGGAGGTGTATGGTAGCTTATGGGAAAGCTTTTAGGTGTTCTGGTCAGTTCCTTGAGAGGAGTTAGGGTGTTGGTGTTGGTGTTGTTTTTTGTTTTCTTGGTGTTATTTGGCATAATGAGCACATACAAGGTGACTTCAGAAAGTTTGTGGGAAAAAAATCATTATCCTTAGTTCAGTTTTTTTCATGAACTTTTTGGAAGTACCCTTGTATTTTGTGTGTGTGTTAAAGAATCATTTGCTAAGGATGGTAGGACTGGGTTTATGGTTGACCAACCAGGGGTGCCAGGTTACAGCAGCTAGTTCCTGGTAGGCACAAAATATCTACCAGCCATGGTGTTGCGTCTGTAATGTCTGTTTCTGTATAAACATTTTTTAGTTTCGATTTCTCTTCCTATAGAAATCCAATGCACAAAGGCTCTGTCATTCCTTAGGAGAGCCTTATACCCTGCCTTTGTGTAATCCCTTATAGAATGCGGCAGCACAAAGAGAAACCATTAAGCTTCAAGGAAGGCATCATAGACCATTTCCCACCTCTTTTGCATTTTCTCATCCTATAAGCAGCTTAACTGAAAGTAAGTAAGTAATTTGCTGGGCCAGTAGAAATGGATGGGGAAGTATTTTTGGTTATGATAAAATATTGTAATTGTGAGGCTGCCTTAACCTCTTTTGTAATCATTCATTCATTCTGTAAACATTCGTGGGAGGCCTGCGTAACTTGTGTAAAGGCGAGCTAAGAGCTTCTAGAATATGCTCTAACAGCTCTGGCCAGGGGATGATGTCTCGAGTGGAGTGATGGCCCTCCTGAACAGCAGGCTTAGTGGGTTCTGGTGAATCAGTGGGACTGTAGTTCTGTTGAGCAAAGCTGTTGTGTTCTGAAAACCAAAAGTGTCCTTCCTTCATTTTGTGGAGACATTTTGCTAGTTCCTCCACTTCTTCAGATTGAGCTGTCTCTACCACTTAGAGGCTGAACATCCATTATGCAATCAGTTTACATCAGAATTTGCTCGTCCAAATTTGTATGAGAGGAAGTGGGAATTTCTGGGGGTGGGGAAGGCAGGGAAGAAAAGTTACCATTGCTCTAAATTAACTGTCACGACAAAAAATAGTAATAGTATGTAAAGGAACGAGCAGTGGCAGCCAGTAGGAAAAGTGGACTAGAGAAAAGCTGTGAACAAAGCTCACTAATGTCAAATAAATGTGTTTTAAAAATAGATTGACATCTGCCATTATGTCTCATTATGACAAATTACTAAACAACTGGCGTTATTGTTTCCTATGGAGGCTATGAGGATTATTGGACACACAGGTAATTAGTGTTTCTGGGTTGGAGTTTTGGAATAGTATGCCGATTGATTATTAGCACAGTTTCAATAAAACACATATTCTGCGAGGTGTGTTGAACTTTGTGTTATTTGGAGTTGAGGGTAAAATTTGTTGACAACCCAGTGCCTATAATACACAGAAACACAAAAAAATAGCTGTCCCTTTGCTTTGGCTCTTATTTTTGCTAAATATGACTCCATGTTTGGGGGAGACCCACTGCTTTTATTTCAAGGAAAACTCAGTGTCTCATGCCTGTCTTCCGTCACTTCTCCCAGCGTGTTCGGTTTTGCAGCTGTGCTTCACGCATTTCTTCCCCCAGTAATGGGATTGCATGGCCTCCATCTAATCCAGAAAGCATGCTTTCACTACCTATGCAAGCAACTAATGACAAAAATATACTGCACTAAAAGTAAGTTTGTATCAAAAGGTAACTCTTAGATTATGGAGCTCTATTTTTGAATTTGTAGTTTTTTAAATGTGGCTTCAGCATCAATACAGAGGAGCATGAGTGTGAATGATTATTTTGCTTTGCGCATACTGTTTCTCCACACTTTTTTTTTTGGGTGGGATCATTGGTGAGATTGTGTGTAAAATAAGTATTTTGCCAGCAGAAGTGGGATTGGTTATGTTCAACATAACACTAGTTTATATAATGTATTTAGCCTGAAGACTTTCTAAAGTATTTTGTTCTGTAAATAATCTGCCATTTTCTATAGATTTTAATTTTTTATATCTTCTAGCGTTCTTTTGTGGTTCACAAGGAAAGACTGTGGCTGCTAATAGTGCTAACAATTTTTAAATTTTTTTTTTTTTGTAGAGAGTTACAGCTGTTTTGGAAAGCTTTGCAGCTTCCCAGCCGCTGACATCAAGACTAAGCCCAGGGGATTTCTGGTAGTGTTGTATAGTAAACTGGGTCTTACACTTGTCTCACATCCATGTAAAACCAGTATTTCCCAGTTTAGGGGAGAAGGGGAAATCCATAGCAAACTTGGGACTCCTTTTCCAAATCACACACATGTT